TTGATGAATAGGCATTGAGATTTTATGCAAAATAGAAGATTTAAGCTAGTCAGCTAAGGAAATGCGTTTCAGACTGCAATTTCTTTTATCATTTAAGCATTGCAATATGAATTGGCTTTTTATATTTGGTATATATTTATGCACCATATTCATACTCGTAGCCATGCTCAATTTTTATTTTGTAAATGCATATAACCCGCAGTCTATTCATGATTCATAGATTTGGTTTTCATTCACAACGGTTATCCATACAAACATCTAAAGATCAATTTCAGGATTTTACCCCAATCATCCGCTAAGGTGGTTGGAAAAGTTGTAAAGTATATTTACAAAATTCTCAATATTTATAAAATCCCATAACTTGCGACTTGGATTTCTCACATCTTTCACACAGGATTTGGATTGCGACATGAAATTCTTCTATTCCATACATTTTGAATTCTACAGACGATTATTATAGTGGCACGACGAGGGATTCTATTTATATAAAGTAGAATGTCGATTATCTGATGAAATTAGAAGATAAACTCGTTAGATTAAGTGATTTTTCGAATAATTAATGGGTAGAATTTCCGCATTTACTATATTTCAATCTTCTACTTGCTGGCCTTGCCTGTTACATAAAATTATCTGCTCTGTCAATCTGGTTTCATAAACTCGCGTATGATCTTCTCACCCGGTGCATAGCACGCAACAAAAGAGTATGATTTCCAGAGTCGAAATTATCAACCGTGATGAGATCTGCCCTCTTCCCGTGCGCTTCACCCCTTTCGCTGCATTTACGGTGATTTGAATGCCGGACTAGGGACGCTTCCTACGGGAATAGGTAGATGATTTCGGATATTAATATTATTGGGGATGTTGCGGTTGCCGGTTCTCCTTTTCCGGCTCGTTTCCCCGTCCACGAATCTCTGAATAGCAACGCGACGCTGGGTTTAGCGTGCTGCTGCATTGGCGATTGCGATCGCGCGGTTTTAGGTGTATTCAGGTCGTTTAGGGGTATTCAGACTTGCCTCTCATCGGGAATTCGAAATGCCTATCATGGCGCGAAACTTAAGCTGTTATTACCACTGGTTATTTATTATCAGTGGAGCAGTAAACCCCGTAGGGAGAAATTACAAAATGAATCCAGGACTGAAAGCTCGAAAATATTATCTGGGAGGTTTGATCTGTTTCCAAGTCAATTCCCTCAGTGGTTTTAACCGCTTTGTCTAGTCCCTTTTCGAGGAAGTACATTGAAAGATTTCAATGCACAAAGGTTTGAGGAAATCGTGGGAAGACGTATGCATGATGAGTTTGAAAGGGGACGTGTGACCTAAAAAGGAGGCTCATTAGGAGCTGCCGGGAATCCTGAACAGAAGGAGGGAGTGAGAGAAGACAGAAACTGGGTAACGGTACGGAAAAGAGCTCGTCGGTTCTATGCGGGCCGATAAATTCTCTGCCGATACGTAAGTAGACAATTTTTGTGGCAATTAACAGGTGCCCTTTAAACGGTAAAAATAGGAAAAAGAAAAAAGGTGGAACGCGTCGCGGAGAAAGGGAGCATAAAATTGATTTAGAGGCGTGAAAATGGCACAAAAAGGCGTCCGCCGTCGAGCGGAACGATACGGTGGAAGCAGCGGCGATGGCGGCGGCGCGCACGGCTCAAAAGGTGGTAGTACTACGTTTCTCAGCTCGAAAATCCAGCTACCCGGGCCCGAAACGAAACTCTCCACGGAAACGTGGAGCGCGTTTGAAACGCGCGAGCAAACTTTTTGTCCGGGGAAAACTTCGCCTCAGCGGGGAAAGCGAGATCGCCCTTTTAGAATCGGGACGTTCCATCCGACGAGTTCGGTGAACGGAGAGAAAACGTGCGCGAACCCAGCTCTTCTTTCTTTTTAGATCGTTATCAAAACTTGCCTAATGGTACGCGAGATCGCTTCTAGGATCTTTTTTAAAGTAACGCACGGTTATCGCTATCGAGACTTTTCCCGGGATATCGTTTCCCCTCGGAATGAAATGTTCAGACTTTGCTCGACCATTATTCTTCAGAAAGAAGAATACCTTCGTTGTTAGACAATTTCGATTAAGTCTGTAAGAGCTTTTACATAAAAACAGTGACATTCAAATTTTAACTTTTATCAGATATTACATTACTAAAGCACTGTGCAAAATTTCAGAAACTTTGCGAGGCTGTTGAAAAAGTTATTATACCCTGAATTGTAGAATTTTAATTTCATTTCTGAGAAACTGTAGATATGACATTCACAGAACTTTGTAATTCTTTACAATTGTTAATACATGTTTCAAGAATATTTTAAAATATAAATAATATCAACTTCAAGGATATTATTTACGATATACAATAAAATTAAAAATTATAGAACTTTTAGGCAATCAAAAAGTGTAAGTGTAAAATATGAGAAATTATGTTTTGAATATTCCCTGTGACTTAAAAGAACACGTTGAACAATTGCATAAATTTTAGTCCTTTGTAAATATCGTTTTTCTTAAAAGCTTATCGCTACAAAAATTGAATACAACGTTTTATCACGTGTCTTAAACTTTTGTACAACCTTAAGCCATCTTTTAATAAAACTCGTCAATAAGAATTGCTTATTCATTCTGTTTTTATACACCTAGAATACTACACGATAGAAGAATATCATTAAAATGTGATTGTTTCTTAGTTATGACGTATATGATCAATTACGTCAATAACTGAATTCCATTCTAGATTAGAATTTTATGGACAATACTTATTGTCTCCTACACGTTGCAGACTGCGCATTGATACTGCATACGTTGACCTGTATGAGAACGGGGAAGGGAAAGAAATGGTTGGCATTGTGTCTAATTGCATCCGTTGCCGTTTTTGTTTCAGGAACACTCGACGGATGAGTAACGAAGCGTGGCCCGGCTCTCAAGGTAGGTAGATACGTAGCTACCGGTCCCTTTTTCTTGCCTCTAACGAACCGTCGCGAAATTTGTATTCCGGTTTTACCTGTACGCTCCAGACGCGTCGCTGTCCCCTTCTTTGTTTCAACCAACTTTCCGCGACCTCTTTTTCTCTTCTTGTTGTTCCCGGTTTCTTCCTCTCCCCCAGCTTCTTTTTACTCGCCTGGAGATACTGCAACGATGTAACTCTTAGATGCAAACGTTCCCGTTGTCATTGTTAATAAGGTTCGCGAGCCGAAACCAAGGATTAAATTTGCGATATTCTGCGTGAAAGCAAAAAATAATTTGGCAAGGAATGCTTATTTGCGTATTATATTAATTATGCGAGATTCCCGAAGCGTAGTCGAAACTTATTATTTTAGGGCAAGGTTCCTCTGATTCTAATTACTTTCACGTTCCCCTATATTCACGATTGCAATTGCGACAATTTGGATAATTGCCCCGAAACTTGACGTCGCATTACGCTTGCTCGACTGTTTGCCGTCTGCGCGATCATCCGGCAAAGAGTACACACTTACTCGGTTTACTCGCGTCCGCCTTTCAATTAGCTTAATTATCACCAAAATGTACTATACGAGAGATCCGGGCGTAAAACGCGTACAATTTTAATATTAATCAGTGGCCGATGGCGGCAATTATGCGATAATTTTATCGGATAAAGTTAAAAGTGAGGCAGTATTATCTGACGAATTTGCTAGATCGACGGTGTGTGCAAGAGTCGGAATTGTTTAAATGTTTTTCGATTCCGGGCACGATATTGTGCTCCGTCACGATCGTGCGTTAGTCAATTTTCATTTTACTGGCGCACGGGTCACCGTCGCCATCACGGTGGCCGTGCACTCATACGGCACGCATCCTGCAATCTGGGGCTAAACAATTACGGTGAACAAGGCCGGGGAACAAGCCGCGTACCGCTTCAATTAAATTCTTCGATATTGCTCATTAATCGGCGACCGCAGATTTCCATTTAATTTCCTGTAATTTCGACGGAATTCATGTACGTTTAGACGTGCGCACGAAGAACACCGGGTCACGATTTGAATACTGCAGTCGGCCCAATTTAATGTTTCTCGAAAAACGAAACGTATGTCTGCATTTATCTAATTGTGAATTTGTTTATTTCGTGAAAGCAGTATTACGAGGAATACAGTATTTTATTTACTGGCGTTTAAGAAAGGAAATTTCATGGAGAATCCTCTTAAGTTTACTCTGAGCCAAGTGGAACTTGAATTCGGAAAATAAAATTAAAGGGGTGAGGTGAGATTTTCGAGAGGATACTCTTTTCCTCTTAGACCTGATTGCCGAGATTTCTACCGTAATTGCTCGAACGTTCGAGTGGTTTGTAATTAAAACCGAAAAATTCTTAAGCACGCCGTCCCTCTGGAAGCAATTTAAACGTTCACCGTGTACGATCGTGAAACGTGGTGGCGCTACGAGGAGGACGGAAGTGCATCAAGAATGTTGATATTTAATCCTTTAGCGCAATATTCCTGTCAGGGGAATTTTATTAATGTGAACAATACAGATAAAATTAATATCCTTTCATGAATTCAATTATAGGAACGAGAGATTTTAAGCTTCGATAGAAATATTCAGTGTCAAAGTAAAATTATCATCGGTACTTATCGACCTACGATTCAATATTTCGCGCGAACGTAATACATTAATTTTTAAGATTGCATGAAGATTGAGGAGACGTTGAAATATCTTCAACGTGGCAAACAGATATAAAACAGTAAAAGCCTTCGGCTTTTCTCGTCTGTTTTTCTTCGGCTCGGTTCTAGTTGCCTCATTTCTTCCTTTCTCTCGATTTTCATTCTCCCCGGTTTTCCTTCCGACGATTCTCTACTCTGGAGAGATCTTTTCTTGGAGAGATCGCAAGATAAATTGGTCGGCGTCTCCTGTTCAAAAGTTTCACGATATTTCTGGCGTTAGTTAAAATTAGTGGAGTTCTCGGACGGCATTCTGATAACGCTATCTCCGTTTCCGTTTCCAACCGGCTCGTCTCTGATAGAGATAACGGCTATTTTTATCCTCGTGATTTTTTAACTCCGCTCTATGTTCTGTTCGTTCGAAAGCTAAAATACGTCCCTTTTAAAAAGCAACTGTCACTTGATTATAATTAATCCGATTGTTCGAACTTCGCGGAATAACAGAATCATTAATTACTCGCTTTTGTTGCGTAACGACTTTTATTCGTTCATCGTCAGACTCGATTTTTCTACCTGTTCGCGTCACCGACGATTTTCTACTTCATTGTCTGCGCACGTTGTACGACAAACCGGACGAGGAAGTTAAATTACTTAGTAGGGGAAATGAAAGAAAGTGAGATACACGAGAGTCGGCATCAGTTAAAGTTGTGACGCGTAAAAAATATCCCATTTCCTTTAACATTTCAGAGAAAGAGCGGGGGAGGGGGCGTTAATTTTCTGGAACCGGTGTAATTACATCGCGGTTGAAAAAATAAAAGAATACCCGGCGTGAGTGGGACGAGATTTAAAAGATTAACGAACACAAACGTCTGTTTTGCATTTTGTACGGTGGAGCGGCGTTTCAGAGCATGCTCGGTTTCCGACGGTAGTCAAACGAACGAGACCGGCGAATTAACGTAATTAGCAGCGCAACTGTCCTCTGATTATGTGTGTTTAAAGGGGCACCAGGGGTGGAACGTTGCTCGAAATTTGTATCGCAACCAAACCCCCGACCTGACCTTCCCCGTTCCGTAGAACCATTTGCGATCTTTATCAGCGAGGAATCTGAAAGAGGACGAAATTCCGTGGCACGCGCTGCTAATGCTCGGGCACCCATTTCTTTCTGGCAAATAAAATTCCTTAGCCGTGTCAAAGGAAGAACTGTGTATAAGACTTGCTGACGGCGGTGGGACAAAAAGTAGCCGAGCTGTTTCGAAGAATGTTGCACACTTTTCTTTTTTGAAGAGTCTTTGCGAAGATTTCATTCTCCTTATCTAGCTTTGAGACCGTCTGCTAGGAAAGAAATGTTAGTACAAAATTTCTGATTGAAGGAAACAAATAGAAATGCTTTTCATTGATCATTCAGAGAAATAAACGTGAAATAAAATTCGGTAGACGATTTATTTCCACGAGCTGTTTCTGTTTTTAATTAAGGATGAGAATGTAACAGTGAACATTTGAAAAAGATCGCAGGAACTTCTCGTTCCTCTTTGTAAGAAGATAGAATGCGATTGAACGTTAACAAGATAAGACGCATCGCTCTTTGAACGATAAGTGAATTCCCATCTCGTCCCTGATGAAATTCAGTCGACGCACGTTCGACAGGATTCACCGATAATTGCTCGCTCGGTTTTAACTGGCGCGGCGGACAGAAACATCTATGAATATATTTCACGGGGCCGCGGGCTTGAAATTTCGGTTCCTTCGAACCTATCAATAAACTGCGACCGTCGAAGAATAATTGAAGACCGCGTGTTTCGCTCGTTTAAATTACGACGTCCCTTTAATTATTGCATTATCGCAGGGTGGCGATCCAGGAGCCGACCTGAAAGACCGCCGATTATTCATTACGTGTGAAATGGAAACACTCTTTTATTCTTGCATTGCAGAATAAATTGGTATGTATATCGAACTACGCAGAGTGTTTTTTAAAATAATTTCCGGTATTATTACTGTATGCTGCTGAACGTTACCCGATATTGACACTCATTCTTCGATCCCGAAAAGGTTCGTTAGGAAAAATGATACATTTTAACGGAACCGTTATGGATCGCATTCGAATTGTTTTTATACCAAACAAAACGGTTTCGACCCCGAAATTTCAACTCAATTCCGCTTGTTCATATTTTCGCAGAAATTGCTCGTAGCAAGGTTTCCAATCTCGTTTTTTTTTTATCACCTGTTCGACATTTTGAATCGAGGTAAAATGGAAACGTAAACAATCGATAATTACCGAATTGATTTAATTAATCGAATTTGCGTGAGGTGATAGGGCGGTCGCTATGGAAAATTTTCGGTACGCGGCAAGGAATCATCGGATTAATCAAGTGTAATGCTAGTAACCGCTAATACACGCGTATGCGGTTAATTAATAATCGCGCGCGTTTACACGGCCGCGGTATTATATACATGCGCACGTTACGCTATCGAATTAATTGAAACGCGGTCCGTCGCAGTGCGAATACGATATCGTTCGATTTGAAATCGACTCGATAATCGCGCGGTATTATTATCCTAAAAATAGTCACGTGCCAATGCAAAATCGGCGGTACAAGGAATAATTAACGCCATTAAATGAGGCAGAAATAACGCAGAAACGGTGCGCCGCGGTGCTTCGTATTCTCGTTTAAATCTCATATCGCGATACGAAATTCCCGTCGAACAAAAAATAAAGCAAATCCTCTCTGTTCTTTGACTTTTTTCCTCGGTGTCCGATCTGAATCTGATAGAAGAGCGCAAATGCGTATTTCGCGAATGGAAATTGCATTGCGTGATTAATATACCGAAGCGATGAAATAAAATGATATTGCATTATTTCAGTTCACATCCGATTGGTACGTGAATGAAATAAAACCTGTACGAACAACGGGGCGATTCGTTGTACATCAGTTCCTGGCACATATACTATTTGAACAGAGAACTAGCCATTTTTGATGAACTTTTTTCTTAATTCCTCAATTATATTTGAAATTAACGTTATCAGGTTTCCATTAATATAGAACAAGGCATCAGATTTATTTCTAAATTTTATTTATGTAACTCGGAAATTCTCTGCCTGTTTCAATGGTTAATTTAAATTCTCTAATTGTAAATTGTAATAGTAAATAAGTCACAGTTTGTATTACACAATTGATCTTGGATCGTAACAAAAGGTTTCCCGAGGGGACGATTCGTAGTCGTAATTGAACAACGCCGTGGGCGTTGAGGGTGAGTATAGGGTATAAATGAGACATAAATTTGCGAGGGGCAAGATAGGGATCGTTAGTCCACCGCGAAATG